GGGGACGCTATCCGTTTCGGGCTCGCAAAGCGTGGCAGGCGTGGCACTTCCTCGACACCACAGGGGACGTTATCCGTTTCGGGCTCGCAACGCGTGGCAGGCGTGGCACTTCCTCGACTCCACAGGGGGGGAGCTGTGGGTGGGGACGCTATCCGTTTCGGGCTCGCAAAGCGTGGCAGGCGTGGCACTTCCTCGACACCACAGGGGGGGTGCTGTGGGTGGGGACGCTATCCGTTTCGGGCTCGCAAAGCGTGGCAGGCGTGGCACTTCCTCGACACCACAGGGGGGGAGTTGTGGGCGGGGACGCTATCCGTTTCGGGCTCGCAAAGCGTGGCAGGCGTGGCACTTCCTCGACACCACCGGGGGGGAGCTGTGGGTGGGGACGCTATCCGTTTCGGGCTGGCGTGGCACTTCCTCGACACCACAGGGGGGAGCTGTGGGTGGGGACGCTATCCGTTTCGGGCTCGCAAAGCGTGGCAGGCGTGGCACTTCCTTGACACCGCAAGGGGGGAGCTGTGGGTGGACGCTAATCCGTTTTCGGGCTTCGCAAGGCGTGGCCGGCGTGGGCAACTTCCTCGACTCCACAAAGCGGGGGAGTTGGGTGGGGGCGCTAATCCGTTTCGGGCTCGCAAAGCGTTACAGGCGTGGCACTTCCTCGACAACCAAGGGGCAGGGGGGAGCTGTGGGGTGTGGGTGGGAAGCTATCCGTTTAGGGCTCGCAAAGCGTGGCAGGCGTGGCACTTCCTCGACACCACAGGGGGGAGCTGCGGGTGGGGACACTATCCGTTTCGTGCCCGCACAGCGTGGCAGGCGTGGCACTTCCTCGACACCACAGGGGGGGAGCTGTGGGTGGGGACGCTATCCGTTTCGGGCTCGCAAAGCGTGGCAAGCGTGGCACTTCCTCGACTCCACAGGGGGGGAGCTGTGGGTGGGGACGCTATCCGTTTCGGGCTCGCAAAGCGTGGCAGGCGTGGCACTTCCTCGACACCACAGGGGGTGCGCTGGGGTGGTCTCCCTATCCGTTGCGGGCTCGCAAAGCGTGGCAGGCGTGGCACTTCCTCGACACCACAGGGGGCGCCGTGGGGGTGGTCTCCCTATCCGTTGCGGGCTCGCACAGCGTGGCAGGCGTGGCACTTCCTCGGCCCCACAAGGGGTGCGCTGGGGGTGGTCACCCTATCCGTGACGGGCTCGCAAAGCGTGGCAGGCGTGGCACTTCCTCGGCACCACAGGGATTGCGCTGGGGGTGGTCTCCCTATCCGTGACGGGCTCGCAAAGCGTGGCAGGCGTGGCATCTCCTCGACACCACAGGGGGTGCGCTGGGGATGGTCTCCTTATCCGCTGCGAGCTCGCAAAGCGTGGCAGGCGTGGCACTTCCCCGACACCACAGGGGATGCGGTGGGGTTGGTCTCCCTATCCTTGACGGGCTCGCAAAGCGTGGCAGGCGTTGCACTTCATCGACACCACAGGGGGTGCGCTGGGGGTGGTATCTTTATCCGTTGCGGGCTCGCAAAGCGTGGCAGGCGTGGCACTTCCTCGACACCACAGGGGGGGCGCTGGGGGTGGTCTCCCTATCCGTTGCGGGCTCGCAAAGCGTGGCAGGCGTGGCACTTCCTCGACACCACAGGGAGTGCGCTGGGGGTGGTATCCTTATCCGTTGCGGGCTCGCAAAGCGTGGCAAGCGTGGCACTTCTTCGGCACGACAGGGGGTGCGGGGGTGCGCTGGGGGTGGTCTCCCTATCCGTTTCGGGCCCGCAAAGCGCGGCAAGCAATATGGCGTTGGATGACACATAGGGAAACATTCGCGACGAGGACTCAGAACGCAGGATTGCGCATATATTTAAAACATAAGCAAGCACATCATATTTAAATTAAGTATGTGGGGTTTTTCGGTAGCGTAATTATGTACGTTTTACAAAAGGACATGGGCATAATTTTGCCTCGCGAAGGCCCCCTTGGGGCCCTCTTCGGCCATCTGCAAGCCATCTCGGGTCCTCTTGGGCCTCGCTGAAGCTTTCTTGTAGGCCTCTTGGGCGTTCTCAGAACCCAGAAATCATGTTCCCAGAGAGGCTTCCGGGAACATGATTTCGAACGAGGCCCTCTTGGGCCTCCCTGAGGGCGCCTTGGGGGCCTCCTGGGCCGGCTTCGGGGCCTCTTGGGCCGTCCTGGGGGGTTCCGTCAGCCCCACAGGCCGACCCTTTTGGACCGTCTTGGGCTCTCTTGGGTCTCTCTTGGGCTGTGTTGGGGCTCCGCGGGGGCGTCTGGGGCACTGTGAAGACGAAGCAAGCGAGTGTGCAAAAAAATGTACGCTTTACGACGGAAATGGGCCGACTTTTGCCTCCTGAAGGCCCTTTGGGGGCCCTCTTCAAGCTATCTCGGGCCTCGCTGAGGCTGTCCTGGGGCCCAGTAGGGGGCCCTGGGGGCCCAGAAGATGAATTCGAACGAGGCCCTCCCTGAGGCGGTCTTGGGGGCCTCCCTGAGGCCCTCTTGGGCCTCCCCGAGGCGGTCTTGGGGGCCTCCTGGGCCGGCCTCGGGGCCTCTTGGGCCGTCTTGGGGGGTCCCGTGAGCTTCACAGGCCGACCCTTTTGGGCCGTCTTGGGCCCTCTTGGGTCTCTCTTGGCCTGTCTTGGGGCTCCTTGGGGGCGTACTGCGAAGACGAAGCCAGCGAGTATGCCGAAAATATACGTTTTACAAAAGGAATGGGGCAGATTTTTGCCTCTTGAAAGCTCTCTTGGGGCCCTCACGGGCTCTCTTAGGGCGCTCTTGGGCGTCTTCGGGGCCTCTTCAAGCTTTCTTGACCATCTGTACGGCCCGCGTGGCCTGTCGCGGGCAATTTGGAAGCGGCCCAGGGCAGTCCTGGGGGGTCTGTGACCCCCAAAGGGTCGGGGGGCGGCCATGGGGGATGACGGCATCGATTTTGCCCCCCCCCCCCCCCCCCCCCCCCCCCCCCCCCCCCCCCCCCCCCCCCCCCCCCCCCCGGCCTACTCTCTACTATATAAAAATATATTTTTATATATATATATAATATATATACATATACATATATACATTTATATATATATATATATATATATATATATTCCCCAATCAGAAGTTGCCTCTGCAGGGGTCATAGCGGATTCATACCGTTAGGTGAGGTGTGCCGCAGATTTCGGTGGCCGGGCCGGGTGCCCAGGTGCCCCGGTGCCCGGTAGCCCTATATCTTTATAGCCCCATAGCCCTATAGCCCTCTGGCCCAATAGCCCCATAGCCCTATAGCCTTATAGCCTTATAGCCCTATAGCTCTAGAGCCCAATATCCCTGTAGCCCTATAACCCTAGCCCTATAGCCCTATAGCCCTATGGCCCTATAGCCCTGTAGCCCAATAGCCCTATACCCACATAGCCCGATAGCCCTATAGCCTTATAACACTATAGCCCTATAGCCCTATAGCCCTATAGCCCCATAGCCCTATAGCCCTATAGCCCTGTAGCCCCATAGCCCCATAACCCTATAACCCCATAGCCCTACAACAATTCTGGGGGGGTTTCTCGGGTATCGATATATGTGTATCGATGTGGGGAAAACGGCCTACGCCTCACTTTTGCTTCGCCCGCTGAGGGGGGGCGCCTGCCCATCTGGGGGGCTTGCCATCAGCGGTGCCGCCGCCTCGCTGTCGAAAGAGCTGGCGAGGCTGAAGCTCCTCAGGCCGGGGAGGACGGCGAAGGTGGCGAGGGTGACGTCTCGAGCCTGAGACAGGTGTTGCTAGAAGTGCCCCTGGCCCAAGGTACCCCAGCTTTTCGCTCCAGTTTGGAGCCCCTGAGGCCCTCTGGGCCTCGTGAGGGGGTGCCCAGGAGGCCGCCTGGGCCACCACGAGAACCCTGGGGGTACCTTGGGCCAGGGGTACTTCTAGCAACGACCGAGATTGCGGGGAGGCGGTGGGAGGTGGGGGCGAGGGACACTGTGGAAGGGATGGGAGGGGCACGATCTGCAAGGCCATGAATGATGGGCGAACTCAGTCGTGACCAAGCCCTTCTGTGACACTACACCGCGTCGGGGTTGGGTCCATTGTAGCGCGCGCTGCTTCGGGCACGCCTCGCTGTTCTGGCCACTCGAGGGCGGCACCGCCCACCAGAACCGAACGACATGGCACATGAGGGCGGCCCCGCCCGCTATCTGATTCTTCGCAAGTTTGGGCCACCCATCATGGTATATGCCGCTGGATGAAGGTGATGATGAGGAGGGTTAGGGGAAGGGCGGAGGAGCCCAGTAAGGAAGAATGTGGGAACGAGGATGGTGATGACGAGGATGATGATGCTGCTGCTGCGGCTCCTGCTGCTCATGATGACGATGCCGACGACGACGGTGATGATGATGCTGCTGATGATGATGATGATGGTGATGCTGACGATGATGATGACAATGCCGATGCGGACGACAATTATGACGATGCTGACAATGCTGATCATGCTGTTGATTATGATGCTGCTGCTGATGGCGATGATGCTGATGAGTCTGGTGAGGATGCTGATGCTGCTGCTGATGATCATGATGATGCTGCTGCTGATGCTGGCGATGTTGTTGATGGTGATGGTGCAGATGCTGATGCTTCTGCTGCTGATGATGCTGATTCTGGCGATGATGGTGCTGATGATGACGATGCCGATGCTTGTGCTGCTGATGATGATGCTGTTGATACAGATGTTGCTGGTGACGGTGATTCTGCGGTTGATGATGGTGCTGCTGCTACTGATGATTGGTGTGTTGCTGGCGAGGAGGATAATGACGTTGCGGATGACGGCAATACCGATGACAACGACGGCGACGATGTTGATGATACTGATGATGCCGATGCTGGTGATTGTAATGGTTCTGAAGCTAATACTGTTGCTGATGATGGTGATGATGATGCTGCTGATGCAGATGCAAGTGAATATGCCGATGACGATTACGATACTGACAATGGTGATGATGCTGTTGCTGCTGCGGCTGATGATGCTGCTGTTGCTGAGTCTGATTATGAT